CAAAGTATACTAGTGCAATAATTTGAGACATCAAACAGTCTCCTACTGGCATAGTCTTTCTTGACCTATACAATTAATGAATATTAAGTGTGTGTATATGTCAAATGCACAAATAATGGATATGTTATTGTTTGCGTATATGTGGATGGTATGCTTATTTTAGGTAGTAATAATAATATTATAACAACTACCAAGAAAATGTTGTCTAGTAAGTTTGACATGAAGAATTTGAGTATTGCAGATGTTATATTAGCAATTAAATTTTTTAGAACATCTAGCGGACTTATGTTATCTCAATCACATTATATTTATAAAATACTTGAAAAGTTTGACAAATATAAAAACAATATTGCTAGAACGCCATTCGCCATTCTCTAGAGGATATATCAATATGGTCTAAACCCGTGTCAACAATTTGTATATATTGCAATAGACAATCTGCAATTGGTAGAGCACAGAGTAACATGTATAATGATAAGTCTAGATTTATACATCGTAGACATAATATTATTTTGACAATTGCTCTCAAATGAGATTATTACTATTGATCAAAGAAAAATCTAGCGGATCCGCTAACCAAAGGTTTGACAAGAGAGCATATAAATTGCACACCGAGCGGAATGGGGGATAAAACCTATGACTTAAGAGTCACCTTAATAGAAACTCAACCTACTTGACTGGAGATCTCAAGATCTAAGTTCAAAAGAACAACTGAATTATATGTGATTTAAAAGAAGCACTAAAAAGATAATCTCTCATACCTATTCCTATAATAAACTAATGCTACCTATAGAGTTTATTAGGGTAAGCTATGCTTTTAATGACTTTTATACCTTGAAAATCCAAGTGGAATATTGTAGGATATTCCTAATATGAGTCACTAATTGAATGTGAATAGACCGCTTCTATGAGAATTTATAAAAGCTGAATTCTCTAAAGCACTTATGAAATCAGGAGTTGTTCATGGCCAAAATGAACACAATTATGAGAACCAATTGTGTTAGGAAAGAGATTGTGTAAAGTCTATTCGATCTGATTTATCAAACAGCTATGTAGTTCAAGACATTACGTTCACTATTTAATTGGTAAGTCTGATGGGCTTTCACTAGGGAAAGTTCAATGTCAAATGCTACTTATCTTGATGCACGATCTTTCTAAAGATGTACTCTCTATAGTGTGTCAGCATTATCATTTGCATACTAATAACCAATTTTTCATTCATGTAAGAGACTGTTGGACTGAAGCAGATTTTTATAATTAAAATTTGATTTTTGGTCGACTTTGAGCCAAAATTAAAGTGGGACTCGATTGTTGTTTTGAGTAAACTTTCGTGGGTTCATATTTTACTCCATGAGAAGAATAACGTAGTATATACTTGCTTAAATCGAGTAAGAAATGAATGAGAATATAGGCTCAAAAGTGACCATCTTGGAATATGAAATTAGAAGTTGTGCAATGTGGGATTTGACACCAATCCCAAAATCTGGTAGATCTCACTTTTTATTTTGTTATTATAATGGATCCACATCTTCATCATCTCTCTCTTGCCCTCTCTCTTGTCTAGCTGTGCAACTTGGGTGGGCCAACTTGAGCCCAACCTGAAAAAAATAGGGCTTAGATTAGAATTTTTAATACTTGGATTGGGTCTAAGCAAAAAAAACTTCAACCCAAATTGAATTTGGGCAAGCCTTAGTGTAACACCCCAATCCCACTATACTATTATTATAAAAATAAAATTTAGGCAATCTCGCTATTAATAAAACATTATAACATGACACTTAAAGAAAACTCATCTTAGAAATAGTTATCTTAGCATCCATTTTTTTTTAAAAGAAGGTCATATGCGTGCGGCACACAGGTCTGCTACCATGTAGAATATACATATCTTAAAAATATTTACAAGTATTGCTTACATGACAAAACCAAAATATTGACATCATATACAACCCAAAAAAGTTTTTTTTTTAAAAGACATAAGAAACTGACATGAGCCCTTCTCGACACTCCTGACTGAACTTCTAGGTGCGACAGTGGATTGCAAGCATGTGTACAATTTACTTGAAAAGTTTTCAAGTAAATTTCAGTGAGTTCTCATTAATAATTTTAGAGATAGAGCAAAGAAAGTAATGTGATGTCCTTGCCCATTTATGGAATTTTAATATTCGTGTTTCCATATCTTTTCTCAAAATTCTATTTCATTGCACTACGGTTTCACACAGAAATAATTATCTTGTCACCTAGGTGACAAAACATCACACAATAATATTCACGGTTCCATAACTTTTCTCGAAGTTCTATTTCATTGCACTACGATTTCACACAGACATAACCATCTTGCCACCCTGGCGACAAAACACCACACAAGTTAATCATTGTATCAGTATACGATTGTCAATCAGATAACTTAACAAAATGTATCATTTTCTTGATATTCTATTTTTTTTTGAACAAATCACATTACATCAAAATTTAGCTTCCGTCACTTAGACGAAATCAGCTTTAACTTATCTCAGTCACGAGGACAAATTTGAACACTTGGGTTACTTTTAGTCATGTAGACATCACAATATAATAATTCGCTTTCGTCCCTTTGACGTCTTCATTACGCAAATAAAATACGTCACATAGACATCCGACCATTTATCGTTTCAACCATTTGATTTTTTTTTCTGCTTGTTACACAGACAATTAAACCATAACATTATAATTTGTCACAAAGACATCTTATTCCTATTGTAACATTAGAACACTTAAGCCATTTATTCACAATAAAACTCATAAGCTAGAAAGTCACATAGAAACAAATAAACCTTTACATGTAGATAAAACCAAATGTTAGCGTACATACGTACCTTGCTAAAAATTTATCGTGTTGATGATTCCTCCGCGGGAGCTTTTTGAGCAGCGTTCTTTATGGCGCTCGTCCTTAGACCTGATACCCATTATTCAAAATCTCATTCGAGTATTAATAAATAATTCCGCTTTACTTGAATTGGTTTACACAAAGCAAATTTCTTAATTTAATCAATCCACATTCAATCACTCATCTACATCTAGTAATATCAATTACTCAAAAAAATATAAATAAATAAACTAGTAGTTATAATCAATTCGAGTCACATTAGAGTAATTCATTCATAGCTAGTAAGATTACCCACTCGAAGCCATGACATCCAAAATAAACATTTCACATAAAATTATAGAAACCAAAATGTAGTTGAATCTACATAATTTCTCAATAAAATCATAAAATTGCATGAAAATTTCATACCCATGAATTTTATGAAAATTCAAGAACAATTAACAAAATTTCTAATTATAAATACCCATAAAATCATAAAATTGTATGAAGATTCCATACCCATGAATTTCATGAAAATTCAAGAACAATTAAAAAAAAATTCTAAGTACCCACCACACTTCAATTTTTTTTTTGTTTACAACAATACTAACTTAATTTACACACCCACATAAATATCAAGATATAACTTTTATGCATTAATCAAACCTCATACCCAACATCATACATCAATATATAACATCTAAACACATACAAAATACCATCTTTGAAACACATGCAACACTCAATATGCCTAAATAAAAATAGGATTTTTCTACATATTAGAAGAAAGAAAATGAATCATAATTCTTACCTTATACCCACACTTTTTTTTTTCTTCTTTTCTAGTCTTTCTTTCCTTCTTCTTCCCTTGGTTTTCTTCTCCTTTCCCTCTTTGTTCTTGATCTAGCCGAAATATCCCAAGAGCACCCCTTTTTTTTTTTTTGGTTTCTTTTTTTGCATGCAAGACATGCAAGTGAAACTAGCAATCACAACCCTATTTTATATCATATAATATATATAGATAGATATATATACACACACATTTATTATATTATTACACATATTTATAATATATATACATATATACAATTAAATGTATGTACCCATTTTTTGTCTTCTTGTATACATATTTATACATAAACATATATATACATATATTCAAATTATTGACAATCTATTAAATTCGTCTCTCGGACCCTTAACCACTCCTTATATATACTAATACATTTTATTTCATTATTATCTATTTTTATAACAATAAATTGATGTCACATACTTGTCACCCGAATTAATTCCACATGTGCTAATGTATATAAAATAATAAATAATATCACAAGTCAACATTCTTATTTAATTTTTCACACTTTAAACAAAATAATTCTTCCTATAATAATTCTTTATAAAATTATCTAATAAATATTTAAAATATTCATCTTTCAGGTTTAGATCTCATATAATTACTCATAATTAAATACTAAACGTCACCTACGCATGCATGTCACATGTGAATATGTTTATGACAAATATTATATATTGATCATGCGTGTTCGGGTCTTACACTCAGGTTGTCGGGCTCTACTCGAAATATATACATATATTTAACTAGGGTTAATGTTTGTTTTCATTTTTCAGAGTTCAGACTTTCACTTTACTTCAAGTCTTCACCTCTGTGCCTCCATCACTCTCAGATTCCTCTCTCACTCATCACTCGTCTAATCTCAGACTCTCAGCCTCCATTTTCCACTCGTTACTCGTCTGATTTGTCTCAAACTCTCGGTCTCTCTCTTTCACTCATCATTCTCATTCTTTTATTAATCTGAATTAAGTAATTTGAACCCAGCCCAATTTTTAACTCAAAATTAGTCCGAATTAAGTAATTCAAATTCAACTCGACTATTTAAATTAAACTCGAGTAATACTCAGGTTGAGATAGAGTTAAAAATTAGAATTAGGGATAAAAATCATATAGATAAAATTGAGTTAGTATTAATCTCTCAACTCGCCCAACCCCGAGTTGGACCCTGCTCTTGCCCTCTCTCTGTCACTCTCTGTCACGAATCAGATTAATGGACTTGTTTTTTTTATAAACGAATAGAGGCTGTAATAAATGACAACTTTCTGTATTTTTTTTTTTGGACAATGTGTTTGGGTCTGTTTTAGATGTACTCCTTCAATCTTCCCTCTGTTTTTGTCGTTTATAAGTTTATAACAATTTATTTTACAGAGAGAGCAGATCTGGCTTGCAATAGTGCAACGAACGGCGATGGAGGACCAAATCCGACTGTGAAGGCGTACTCCCGCGACTCGGGTAACCCCAAATCTGATAGATCTTGTTGTATTTTTGCTTTAGAATACCAGATTTGCGTCTTCCTCATCTCTCTATTGCCCTCTTTTTCTCGCGCCATGTGACTCCCCAATGTGTATGTAGTTGGTTGGGAGGCAGAAGCCAAAAAAAACTCTTGACGAATTCTAGCAGTTCAACGAAGGGCTGTGGAGGAGTAAACTGCACACATCGAGCAGTCGGCCGTTCAACAGGAAGCTTCCAAAAACGAAAGCTACGACAACCGCGCTTTCGGAAAGCTCAATCGTCCCTCATTCTCCACAATAATCTCCATTTTCCTTTAGCATTATTGACTCTCTCTGTCAGTTGTCTCTCATTCGCTACTATTTTCCCACTGCAAACCATCTCAACAGGATCGTAACACCTCAAATCTCTCTTTAAAGAAGAAAGTTATGGCGGCGGGATCGGAAAACTCAGAAGTAAAGGCATATATTCACGAAATTTGGTACGAATTTGACTACATGTTGAAACGGTGGCGACAGGGCCCGCAAAAGATAGTGGCTGATGTTGTAAAAGATAGTTGTGAACGAACCTTGAGAAGATTGGGTCAGCTACTTGGTTTTTTGGGAGGAGCGGAGGAAGGAGCTGCCGAGACTTTCGCTGATGAGGCAGTGGAGCTCATTCAGAATGCAGGTGACCTGTTCGATCGTTTGTCTCACGGAACGAATCAAGGGTATGTAGTTGATGATTTCATGATCGATTTTGAGCTAATTGAGAATCAGATTGAAGCAGTCGCCACTAGGGCAGGTCAAGTGGGAGCAGATGGGCCGATTGTTGGCTTAGAGGAAGAAATAGAGCTTGTTGCTAAACTGTTGCTCCAAGACGAGGTGGCTCGTAGGCTGGTATCAATCGTTGGAGCCAAAGGAATTGGGAAGACAGTTCTTGCTCGCAAGGTTTTTAATTATTCGGATGTTGTCAATCAATTTCCGTTGCATGCCTGGGTGAGAGTATCCAAGGAGTTCGAACCCATCTCAGTTCAACTAGAAATAGCAATGCAAGTTTTGCCATTTGAACAACTGAAAACAGTACACTCCCCAGAGAAGCTGATTAGGTGTCTCCGTCATTTTTTGAGGTATAATAGATATCTCATAGTTTTAGATGACATTACAACTGAAGCCTGGAACATCCTAGGAAAATCACTACCAGACACATCAAATAGTAGTAGAATCGTGTTTACTACTCGCAACGCGGGCATAATCAATGTTGGATCAGATAGTTGTGTTTTTAAAAAGCAGGAATTAAGTGATGACGACAGCTGGGAGTTATTCAATGCCAGGGTTCGTTCTCAACTCTCTGCAAAGCAACAAGAATTTTGTTTTCAACTCTCTGCAAAGCAACAAGAATTTTGGAGAGGAGCTGTGATAAAGTGCATGGGGTTGCCTTCTGCCATTTGTAAAACAGCTGACGAATTCTCAAAGAAAACAATTCCCCAGGAGGAGATTGCTCATGCCCATGGACATATTCAATACAACGAGTCTGCAGTACCACAACAGATTCAATACGACGAGTCTGCAGTACCACAACAGATTCAATACGACGAGTCTGCAGTACCACAACAGATTCAATACGACGAGTCTGCAGTACCACAACAGATTCAATACGACGAGTCTGCAGTACCACAACAGATTCAATACGACGAGTCTGCAGTACCACAACAGATTCAATACGACGAGTCTGCAGTACCACAACAGATTCAATACGACGAGTCTGCAGTACCACAACAGATTCAATACGACGAGTCTGCAGTACCACAACAGATTCAATACGACGAGTCTGCAGTACCACAACAGATTCAATACGACGAGTCTGCAGTACCACAACAGATTCAATACGACGAGTCTGCAGTACCACAACAGATTCAATACGACGAGTCTGCAGTACCACAACAGATTCAATACGACGAGTCTGCAGTACCACAACAGATTAATCTTGGGCAAGAATCGATGCACCATGTGTTAGCCTCTGCTGATGCATTACCCTTAAATTTGAAGCAATGCTTGCTCTATTTTGGATTTTTCAATAAAGACTATGAAGTTCCGGCGAGAAGACTCATCGCATATTGGGTTGCCGAAGGAAAGTTGAAGCAAAAAGTAGGCCTAATGGAACCTCCAGAACGCGTTGCTGAGGATATTCTAATGGAGTTAGTAAAAACAGGCATTATCCAAGTGGCAAAATGGAAGCTCAATGGGAAAGTGAAGACTTGCCGCATCAACCATATCTTGAGGGATAATTGGTTGTTAAAAGCTAAAGAAGCTGCCGCTAAACCTTCCAATGACACAGGTATGATTCTTCGACTTGCTGATCATCTTGACAAGGAGGATGAATGCTTTCCACACATTCATGGCAGTGACACCAGGAGTATTTCTTCTCTTAGATGTTTTTATGTGGAGCTCCGTTCGTTTTTGTCATTTGATTCTCGGGAAGGGCCTTTACCTGGAGAAGAGATAAGCAACTTTTTTCGTAAATGCATTGCTGCTGGTTGCTTCAAGGTGTTGCAAATAATAGACCTTGAAGGTGTATTTCGGCCTAAATTACCCGACTCAATAGGGAAATTGACTCAGCTGAGGTATCTAGGTTTGAGATGGACTTATTTGGAGACACTTCCTTCATCATTAGGCAATTTGTTGAGCCTTCAAACATTGGATTTAAAGCACACTTACATCAGCAGCCTTCCTAGTTTCTTATGGAAGATGAAGCAACTGCGACACCTATACTTGAGCGAAAGTTTCCGTAGCAGATTTGTTCCTCCACCAAACACCAATCCACTGATTGACATCCAAACATTATGGGGAGCATATTTAGATGAGGAGACCCCAATAAAAAATGGCTTAGACAGGTTCGTTAATCTTAGAAAACTAGGTCTGGCATGTAGGTTAAGTCTTTCACAGCGAANCAGATTCAATACGACGAGTCTGCAGTACCACAACAGATTCAATACGACGAGTCTGCAGTACCACAACAGATTCAATACGACGAGTCTGCAGTACCACAACAGATTCAATACGACGAGTCTGCAGTACCACAACAGATTCAATACGACGAGTCTGCAGTACCACAACAGATTCAATACGACGAGTCTGCAGTACCACAACAGATTAATCTTGGGCAAGAATCGATGCACCATGTGTTAGCCTCTGCTGATGCATTACCCTTAAATTTGAAGCAATGCTTGCTCTATTTTGGATTTTTCAATAAAGACTATGAAGTTCCGGCGAGAAGACTCATCGCATATTGGGTTGCCGAAGGAAAGTTGAAGCAAAAAGTAGGCCTAATGGAACCTCCAGAACGCGTTGCTGAGGATATTCTAATGGAGTTAGTAAAAACAGGCATTATCCAAGTGGCAAAATGGAAGCTCAATGGGAAAGTGAAGACTTGCCGCATCAACCATATCTTGAGGGATAATTGGTTGTTAAAAGCTAAAGAAGCTGCCGCTAAACCTTCCAATGACACAGGTATGATTCTTCGACTTGCTGATCATCTTGACAAGGAGGATGAATGCTTTCCACACATTCATGGCAGTGACACCAGGAGTATTTCTTCTCTTAGATGTTTTTATGTGGAGCTCCGTTCGTTTTTGTCATTTGATTCTCGGGAAGGGCCTTTACCTGGAGAAGAGATAAGCAACTTTTTTCGTAAATGCATTGCTGCTGGTTGCTTCAAGGTGTTGCAAATAATAGACCTTGAAGGTGTATTTCGGCCTAAATTACCCGACTCAATAGGGAAATTGACTCAGCTGAGGTATCTAGGTTTGAGATGGACTTATTTGGAGACACTTCCTTCATCATTAGGCAATTTGTTGAGCCTTCAAACATTGGATTTAAAGCACACTTACATCAGCAGCCTTCCTAGTTTCTTATGGAAGATGAAGCAACTGCGACACCTATACTTGAGCGAAAGTTTCCGTAGCAGATTTGTTCCTCCACCAAACACCAATCCACTGATTGACATCCAAACATTATGGGGAGCATATTTAGATGAGGAGACCCCAATAAAAAATGGCTTAGACAGGTTCGTTAATCTTAGAAAACTAGGTCTGGCATGTAGGTTAAGTCTTTCACAGCGAAAAGAGTTGGCAGAGTGGATTACTAAACTGAACGAACTTGAATCTTTGAGGTTGAGATCAATTGACCGTGATGTGGTTCAAGCTTCAGACATATATTTAGAGCCTTTGTCAGGCCTCAAGAAGCTTTCAAGTATATATTTGTTTGGAAGGTTAGAAAATCAAGTGATCGTGCAAGACTTCCCTGAAAGTCTCACTGAGATTACGTTGTCATTATCAGGATTAAATGAAGATCCCATGCCTAAATTGGAGAAGCTTCCATATTTGAAGACCCTTAGGTTACTTGCAGGCTCCTATAGCGGACGAGTGATGCATTGCTCCTCACAATGCTTTCCTTTACTTCGAGTTTTAAAACTTTGGAAGCTAGAGTTCTTGGAAGAATGGACAGTGGAGAATGGGGCTATGAAAATACTTAGAGAAGTGGAGATTAGATCCTGTGAGAAGTTGATAATGATTCCGGATGGGTTTATACATCTGCGTAACTGTCGTGAATTGAAGATAACAAATATGCCTGATGAATTCATAGCAAGGATTGCTGACAACCAGGGGCAAGATTGGTATAAGATTGAGCATATACATTCTGTCGTTCCACAAAATATTGCTGATAAAGTTGCTGGTCTAAAACAGATTTGATGCAGGTAATAGTATTCCTTCCCCTTTGCTTATCAATCATTGTTTTCTTTGTATAGTTGACTTCATTTATCAGCCAGATGACTAGAGAAAATCCCATTTTGCCCCTTGAAACATACAAAAATTCCCAGTTTACCCTCCGAATGGTTAATTTTCCAACATTGCCCCCACAAAGAAATAAGAATGTTGCAATGTGGTCCCAAAAACGATTTTATTGCAATGTTTTTGGAAGTAAATTGCAACATTTTTTGACCACATTACAACGTTTTTATTTCTTTGAGGGGGCAATGTGAGAAAATTAATCATTCGGGGACAAACTGAGAATTTTTGTACCTTTTAGGGGACAAAATGGGATTTTCTCTCTAGATTAATATTACCAGTGTTCAATTTCCTTTCTTTCATTTAATAGCTGAATTATTCTTTTCCTTCTATTGGTTTGGAAAAATTCATTGGAACACAAAATCAGTGCAATCATATATGATGATGTATCACTTTATTTTCCAAGTCCGAATGGGTAGTCAATTTGACTCTGGTTGAGAATGTGAGAAAATGAAATTTTGAACTTCAATTGCTCAAAGAAAGAAGATAAAAAAAATTATGTGATTATGTTATCTTGTTTCTACTTTTCCAAGAAGAGTAAAAACATGGAGATGTTAACCATAAAACCTGCAATAGTTGTTGAATTTTACAAGCAAAGGTGGAGATTTTTCATTAACATAAGATAGTGGGATATTGTTAACTTTTTCGTATGAAGATGACCCCTCTAGTCCAGATATTACAAAGCAATCATATCAAATCTCATTCTATTTTGATTTCTTTATAGTATTACCCAATTCACTATTGTTGATTGATCTATTGCATGTCAGAGCATTTCACTTGATTCTTGAAGTGCTTCTCTGTAGTCTCAACAATGTATGGTGAAGCAGTTGCATTGCTGACTCCAAAAAACGAATTACTGGTCATGTACATGGTGAAGCAAACTAGCTATTGCAGTATTCAGCTCACTAGTCTCGTATCAATAACCTAGACAAGAATTTTAACACTAATTGAAAACTAATATTTTTCCAGGAAAATAATTGCACCCTAGTTATCGTTGCTCTTTTTCCTGATAATCGTACATTCATACTACATGTTTGCCGGGGGAAAATCTAACTAACTTTGCTTAGATCAAAACTATGTTTGTGATTATGTCCCATGGTTTCAATTTTCCTGACATTTTTGCAAGTTTGGTTGTCCTGCTGAAATTCGTGATCTTTTGGTTCAATTTTTCTGAATAATTATGCTTTATACAAAGTTTTGTTGGAAATCTTTGTGTTTTTGCATTATTTTGGATATCTAATTTTCTTTGATGAAATTCAACTTCTTGCGGTGTGCTGATACAGTGTATGCAATATGTTGATGTGGGTCAAAACATCTGCCTTGTCATGTATCAGGTATAGTATGGGTATGTAGTAGAAACATCAATTCATTTGATTAGCAAGGTCAGTTTGTGGCTCTTTGTAAATTGTAATACCTGAATACATAAATAAATAAATTATAAATAGTATTTATTTACCACGTAGTTATATAATGTCATTCCTGAGGGAAGTTAGAATATTGGAGGCTTTAATTTTGGCAATGGTTTTCCATAAACTTAGAGACGCACAGAGGTGATGCAAGGGAGTGAGGAAACAAAGAGCTTGGTTTTGAAAGTGAAAAGAGGGCAGCTAGGGTTGTGAAAGAAGAAGATGAAAAAAGAGAGGAAGAAGAAGACAAAAATTGGCTTTGAGGCAATTCTTTACTCCTATTTGGTTTAATTAAACAAAAGTTATTACTGGTGTTTATGTATGTATGCATATATGTCGTGTGTGCGCGTGCTTGTGTGTGAGGTATTGAGGAAACTATAGATGTATGATTGTATAAGTGTGTATAAACTGGGGGCATTGTTATTCTCATAATATTGAGTTTAGTATAAATAAGAGAGTATAGGGCAACATAGTCTACATAACAGATTATTCCATTTCTCTGTTTCTCCTTTCTTCTTTTCTCTCCTCTTCTCATTTTCTTACAAACCCTAATACCTCTTCTACAATTTCAATTTATGCAATTAGGGTTACTTTCCAAACTCATAGCAAGAGATTGTTCAGAAGCATATTTTAAGGTGATAGTGTATGTGATGGGTTTTGAGCCCCACTTAAACGATTGGAATCCATAATACTTGCACAGTCAAAGCAAAAAAATGAGAATTTCAGTGATTTCTTGATGCCCTTATATTGAGAATCATCGTCTTCAAATAGACTACAGTCAATTGAGATCCCTGTTTATGGTCACAATGAGCCAGTTTGGAGCTGGCTTTTTACGTGAAAAACTGTGGTTTGAAAAGTTTTGTAAAAAAAATTAGAGTTAAAAAAGTCTCCCAAAACTGTTTGGGGTGTTCTTTAAAAAGTCCGTTTCTAGTTTTTTTTTGACTTTTTTGTGTCAAAATAAAAAAAAATTATATGTATGTATAGATTATGCATAATAATTCTCAAAATATGAATTTCAAAATTTTTTACGTTACTAATAATATTTTATGAATATAATAAATTAAAAAATTATGTGGGACCTGTGACAAAATTCCAAAGAGTCAGAAGAAAAGCTCATTAAATCTGCTTTTGCATTAGCCTAAATAATTTTTCTTGGGTCCGAAAAACTGTTACATAAGCAGGTGAAAAAGCCAAGATCCAAACAAACTTGGCTTATTTTATTCCAAAGCCTTTAAAAACTACCTATTTAAGCTTGCTCCATACAGGGCCAATAACTTTGATGCATTGGATGAGAATTACAAGTCAAGACCCCTATTTAAACTTTCTATAAAATGTGGACTATATATTCATGTAAGATTCTAGTACTTACTGAAAAGGAAAAAAAAAATGATTTTCTCTGTTACTGTACAAATACAATAAATTGATTAGGTGTAGTTGACATGTATTCCCATTACTTCAATAATAGTTCATCTTGCCTTTTAATCATGTTCAGTGCCATTGAGAATGCCTGTAACTTCACTCAAGTGAAACTTTAGAAATGCCATTTTGCTAACATCACAGATATTTTTTAGCTCTGTTATTTCTAAGGGCTAAATAAGGTGAAAATGAAGGGGTGACATGTTTATCTCTATATCTCTGTATGTATTTATGTTTTGTTGCTATGCTTCGGTGAATTGTTTTGTGTCATGGATAAATAGCAAGGAAAGTTATAGTTACACCATTAGCCGGGTGTGTAACTCAATTCCAAGAACATGACTTGTGCTTAGATCATGGAAGTGAGGGTTGGACACACACAAAATCATTTTAAGATCTAATAGGAATCAATTTGGCAAACTTCCTAAAGGTGTTAAAAATCAGTTTGGGGGATTTTGGTTCGGTTTGTACTAAATTGAAATAATGGACATATATTTTAATATCTCCTACTCATAAATAGGTTTTATTGTATAACTATGATTTGTGAAAGGTGATATTTCAGCATTCTGAGGAGTATTGAATACCTCTTCTAGTGTTTTATATGTCATACTACAATGCTTTTTTTTTTTTTTTTTTTTTAAGGAATTTGGTGCATTGGTTTTTTGTGATATTTGTGAACTAGTTTTTGATACTGTGCACTATTTTGTGATATAATCACGTGCTAAAAAACAGATTTCGCATATGAAATGGATATATGTGATGCTATATCTTGGTGAAAGCATGTTTTTTTAATTGGTAGCATGAGATATAATGTATGTTGAAACTCGTAAACTTGTTTTTGTAATTATATTAGGTTGATTCTTATTCTGGCTATGAGAAAGCCCTTCCCAAGGGATTTATTCGTTAGCTGATATCGTGATAAGGAATTTAACTTCGATTCAATCCGACGTCATCGGGTCAATGTGGCTTGTGGACTTAGTAACCAATATGGGATTATAATACATTGGTGAGGATCACTCTTGACTTGGGATTCATTCATCAATCATGAATATAATGTGGCTTTTGGACCTAGACATCAATAGGGAATATAATAAATTGGAACTACAAGCCTTATCACGGGTGGTTAGGCCATATCAGTTAAAGAATATTGAGTCTTGATTTGACTAAGAGAGTGTGGTATTTGATGATGTGCGAGCTCGAGGCATGAGGGCAGTGCTTAAGTTGAAGAGCTCAATGCTTGTGAATAGTGGGTTGTGAGTGAACAGTGGAGAAGACGATGACTTGGGGAGGGGCTAGATGGCTTTGCCTAACGCTACAATAAACTCAGAACAGTGGGACGAGTTAAAAAACGTAGTCTAAACATAGAGATTGTAGTGGTTCACTAGTTGGAGTGCCTGATTAATCCACTCTAAAGGAGTCTCTTGTTCCTTGGGGAATTGTATATTTCTTGGGGAAGAAGATAGGATACAATGCATTCGATGCTTTTACATGGATAAGGACTTGATATTTATACCCACATGTGGGTGGTTCTTTTGCTATCATCACGTGGTCCCCAAATTTGTTAGGATTGTGTTGAGAGAATATTGGGTCGTTAGAGGCTACATTTCTTAGGTATGATGTGGCATTCTAGAACATGCTGAGGTATCCTCGAGACCGGTCTTCAGGTTTAGAGATGTCGTGGTCCCCTAGGGTTATGAAAAAGCTTGGTATGGGGTTATTCTGGTTTGGGAATGACCTCATGTTTCTTTAACTAGTTCGCGAGTAAGTGAGCTCGGTCCATATTGTTAGAGTAGTTAACATATTTAGACTTAGAGGTAGTTTAGTCATTTGTTTTCTTTTATGTTGCCCTAACTTAGTCTGTTTGTTTTCCTTTTGCCATATTATATAAAGACCTCTTATATGTAGTTTTCCTTTAAGTTTGTTTTGGCTAGTTATGCGTCAATAATATTTCTTTTTTTTAGTTTCTTTATTTATTATTTGATCAAAGTTTACATGGTATCAGAGCATGGTGTCGATCCAAAATATATTGTAGTACTACAGTAATTTAGTTTGAGAAAAAATATATTTTTGGATTAGGGCTGACATTATCT